TTTTCCCTGGATATTAGGATTGCAATAAGTTGCAATAAATGAACAAGAGTAGATTAAATATACAGCATGTATGAATTGACTGATTCATTTTCTACGGCTTATCAATCTTTTGCCGATTATTTAAAGCCAGAAAATATTTTTTTAGATTATAAGGATGTTTTTGTTATTTAGATAATAATGATTTTAGTGATACAAGTGTTATTGATTAACCCATAGCTGGGGGTAGAAGAAAGGGATTCTTACCTTTCTCAAGGAAAAGCGAGTGCAACGCAAGCCAACGAGAATGAGGAAAAAGTCCCCCCCACCCCGATTAAAAATTCTGATCGATTTCACCCGCACAACCACCTAGTATTTTGAAGCGGTCACGCATCTAGGTACTGACTAGCGTCTACGTGGCTTAACTTCAGCGGTCGTACCGGAACCACTGTTTCAGCATGATGTGGCCTTAAGTCCGCATAGATGAAGGTTCATAATTGATTTTTTTTTTTTAACGTTTTATCAACCTTTTCGGGTTTTTTAAGCCGAATTATTTTGGAGATAATAATCATTTTCTGATGCAAGTCTTGCTATTTAACCCATACCTGTGAGGAGAAGAGATGGATTTGTAATATTTCAAAGGGTATATGCACGTAAGTGAATATATCGAATTCGACTGGAATTTGAACTCGGCTCCCCGGTTTCTTATTCCAAGCCTTGATCCATTAAACCACCCGAACATCCAATCTTGCAACATTTGGTATTCACGAACGGTCACGAGCTAGGCACCAGATTCAATGTTATTTAAATTGATCGGACGAGAATCGGGATTTCAAAGTGATATGGCCTTAAACCGATGAAGATTCAGTAATCTTCAATGTACTATCTAAGAATTAAGTTCTTACTATCAGTTCCTGCTCTTAAATTGTAGCATTGCATGTATGAAGTAGATGATACTAAGTTAGAGTTAATAATTCGGAAAAATATACAAGAAAAATCTAATTAATGAGCAGCTATACAGGTTGTTGGAAATACATCGCATTTCTGAGGTACGGTTATTTCAATAGTGTATGTTCACAGTTAAAAACCCCGCCAAAAGAAAAAATAGAAGACGGATTTCGCGCGGGAATTGACGAATCACTAATTTTCGGGAACGACAGCGCAACAATACTGTGTCCTCTTGGCCTCACGCTTGCTACTGACTTGAAGTGGAGCGTCTACATTGAATCAATAGCCGCATCTACTGAAATGAAAGTTGGGTAACTAAGTCGTGTTCATCTTGAATATTTACAAATGAATACTGCTGTCATATTTGGTCTGGTGCTCCTGCTATTCATCTTGAGGTTCTTAACAAAATAGAAACCAACGTTTTTAAGCACTTGCTATGAGATCCATACCTGTAAAGGGAGATAACTGAGGCATCCGGAAGAGGCATGGCACATGGAACTAGAACTATCTAATCCGGTGGACGAAATAAAAGGGCTCAGTTCAAAATTCAAATCATCTGACGAAGGCTGGAGCGTACAACGGCCGAAACGTTTTGTATATAGCAACAAAGATGAGGAACAAAGTTCGAACCATTTAAATAGTGTGAGAAAGAAAGAAAACATGATAGGAATAAACAAACATAAAAACGACAGACTTTGTCTGTCGGAAATAAAGAAGAAAGATTAAAAGGAATGATAGTAAAAACGGTAAACAGTCCTAAAAGCTGTTGTTTAAACAATGAAAAATGTAATAGAGTAGAAACGTGAAAACGAGAGAGAAAATGGGAAAAGCAAGAAAATAGTGTCAAATGGAAGAAGGAGTTTGGGATGGTGTGGAATTGTCTGAAACAGAGGCGAGAGAAACGATGGGAACTGTGGAAAATAGAAGACAAATTGTTATAGGTTTGATGCTGGTCATAAACCATACGAATCCAAAGAAGCGTGAAATAGCAAACCGGTTAGCGGGTAGTAAATATGGCTACAGATTGCCCGAAAGAAGAAAGAACCAACAGAAAGGTCAGACAGACAGACAGCAGATAGATAGATAGATAGATAGATAGATAGATAGATACCTCATAAATACACATATAGTTTAAAAAAGAGAAAAAGAGAGACATGATCAATAGATGACTCCCGCCTACACTATCGCACAAACATATAGATAGATAGATATCTCATAAATACACATATAGTGTAAAAAAGGGAGAGACGTGATGATCAATAGATAACTCCCGCATACTCTCTCACACACACATATAGATAGATAGATAGATAGATAGATAGATAGATAGATGAATGACTTATAAATGCACAAATAGGGTAAGGGATCGAGAAAACGAAAGGAACATGATGATTAAAGTTAACTCCCGTACACACACACATCCTCTCTCTCTCTCTCTCTCTCTCTCTCTCACACACACACACACACACGCACACACACACACATAGATAGATGAATGACTTATAAATGCACAAATAGGGTAAGGGATAGAGAAAACGAAAGGAACATGATGATTAAAGTTAACTCCCGTACACACACACATCCTCTCTCTCTCTCTCTCTCTCTCTCTCACACACACACATAGATAGATAGATAGATAGATAGATAGATAGATAGGCTCACAATGGAAGAGACAGATAAATGAATCATAAAAACACATATAATATATAGAGTAGGTAAGGGAAGAAAGAGTGGAATAAGATAATCAATAGATAACACCAGTACGCACACACACACATATATAGGTAATAGGCACTTCGACGTAGTGTAATGTTTAGCAAGCTTGTCTCGCTATATCAATTGTGACTGAATAGTGAATTCAATCTCCACTGGGTCCCTCATACTTTCGTCTTGCACAACATCTAAGCTAAGCTTATATAGATGGATAGATAGTTAGATAGATGTTGAGGTAAAAGAATTTGTATGTTACCTATTTTGTCCTTCGAACGGACTTCTTCCGTCTAATAATGCTTTTATCGATGGATTCTTATGTATGTAGTTTTAGGGCTGCGAATCACAACAACTCACTTTTATAATTCTACATCGCCCGATAACGTAGTCGACCTCTTTTAGATTTTGTTTTATGAAATATCAGCCAGTGTAATACCAATAGTTTTGTTAGAAATCTTGTATGATCTTAGTTGTAAATTTATCAACGAATCTCTGAAATACACATTCAATATATTTTCGCTTTTTTAAAATTCAAGCTGGGTTCAGCATATATAAGATTCTGACAATAAAACCATTCTTTCTTGAAGTAGCTCTTTCAAAGTACGAAATACATAACATAGGAGAAATTTTTTAACTTGCCTAATTACCCTAATATATATAGTCGGATGTTATATCTTTTTACAGACATACACATTCCTCGACGGATTTATTCAACCAACGAAGCGGAACGATTTTAATTGGACTAAAAGGCCTACCTGGCTTTATTATGGGTAAGCTTAACCATAACAGGTTTCTCTAGACTAGCGTTTCTCAATCGGGATTCCCCGGAAACCTAATGTTCCCCGGAAATCTTAGGTACCCCCGGATACCTAAGGTACCCCGGAAACCTTAGGTACCCCGAAACCTAAGGTACCCCGGGAGCCTTAGGTTCCCCAGAAACCTAATGTTCCGCGGAAACCTAAGGTACCCCGGAAACCTAATGTTTCCCGGAAACCTAAGGTACCCCAGAAACCTAAGGTACCCAGAAACCTAAGGTACCCTGGAAACCTAAGGTACCCAGGAAACCTAAGGTTCCGCGGAAACCTAAGGTACCCCGGAAACCTAAGGTACCCCAGAAACCTTAGGTTTCTCGGAAACCTAAGGTACCCCGGAAACCTTAGGTTCCCCGGAAACCTAAGGTACCCCGGAAATCTTAGGTTCCCCGGAAACCTTAGGTACCCTGGAAACCTAAGGTACCCCGGAAACCTAAGGTTACGGATACCTTAGCTTCCCCGGAAACCTAATGTTCCGCAAGAGGTCCCCAAGGGTTCCGCAAGAACAGGTGAGATAAGCTAATGCACTTTGGCTCTGAATGGCTCTGAAAGTAACATTTTCTTGGCCCATTTATTGATTCACAGGACATTTTGCCTTGATTTACCTTATGTCTTTTCAACATCAAAACTAAAAAATCTGATGCAGCAATTATCTCGTTATTTTTCGTTCTGTTCACATTTATATCATAGATATATGATATTGGTTACTCATGTATATTTTTTTTATATTTGAGCTTAGAATTTTTTTTGTGTGTGAATGGAAGTATTATAAAAGAACAGTATGAATTTGATTTTGCATTGCCGAAAAAATTTAATTAATTTTTCCTTAAACCATTTATTGAAAAATAACATGACATTTACCACGTGAACTACGATGAAGACAAAATGAGAAGATATAATTTTGTTTTTGCGCAGGGGTTCCTTGAGACGTCACCTATTTTAAGGGTTACGGAAGGGAAAAGGGTTTAGAAACGCTGCTCTAAACAGACGACACTGTATTGCTGGCTGATTCAGAAAGAAAACTGAAAGATCTATGAAGAAGAAATAATTAACTTTAAGCAAACAGGATGCACGGTTGTCAGCAAAAGAGACGGCCCACTTACAAGTTACACATCGGGGATGTCAAAATGAATCAGAAAATTGATTAGTATCGGAAAAGAAAGTGGAAAGTGTGACATAAATCCGAAGGCGCTTATGAATAATGAAAGATGCTTTTCAGAAACTGTAAAGTAGAAAACAATCTGAAAAATTATATGCATGATTCTGCAGCGCAGCCTGTTCATCCTGGTTGTTAGACACGCAGAGTTTCGGCTGTTGTACTCTCTGGACTTCTTCAGAGAGCTAGCTTCATACTCTGTAAACTTCTGCGTATTTGCAGCCGAAAACCACGCGGGGATGATTGTTAAATTATGTGCCGTTTGTTAATTAACTACACTGAAACGATTCTATGTAACTTTTCAGCACAACTAGATTTTGGGACTGGACCTGAAATTGCCAAGGAACATGGTGTTTTTTTTGTTTTTTTTTATCAATGCTTTAGACTATATATCTCTT